CACAAACTTTTTCTCAGTATTTTACGAATAGTTAAACCATTTTTAGTCCTTAGTAAGTTAGAAAAATGATGACTACACAGGTAGATACATACGACTTTCAGCTATGCGCTGATGTAAAAATTGTCTGAAAATTCATTACCATTAATTAGTGCCGTTTAATTTCCAGTACGTTGCTCTTAACTGGTAATAATTATCCCATTTGGGGTAATTATAATCAGTCAACCTACTCCGCTGGGATAATTATAACTATTACAGCAAAAACGACTGGAACGATGTAAATCAACTTTGAACTTCTACCTTCTACAGGTCTTTTGATCCTGTTTGTGATAATTTAGTTTAAACAATGGTACGAAAACTCATCATTTTTCATGGTGTTTTTTAAATTTAACCGTGGCGAATAGTTTCAAAAGTCATTGTCTTATATGATTAGATGCGTTTTTATTTGCTCTTTTCAACGGTGAAAACCGTAGCTCTCTATCATGTTCCTATCAAAAGTTATTCAAAAAATAGCAATCCACATCTCTCTGTCTGAATGGGCACTAGTCATTCTGTGTGTCCTTCTACTGTTATTGATGTAGCGTTTTCAAACTTGAATACATGAAAAATGAGTTCACTTGCACTTATTTGCGTGTTTCGGAAGGATAACAGTCAGCCTATGAGGCCCAATAAGGATAGTGAATCTCATTGAATCACTGTTCTTGTCATACAGAACAATTTATTTAATATAAAACGCTATCGAAAGGAGAATGTTTCCGAATGACGAGATCTTGAAGTACGACGACAATTGATCGATTTGTTAGGCAAGACTTGAAATTCGAGCATGTGACGGATTCCTTGAATTGTGAGGGAGAGGGTGAGGGCGATATTAACTTTGTTAGTCGATTGTGTTCGAAGATATTTGACGTATTCTCGTTGTTGTCGATTGTAATAGGTATGTTGAAGAAAATGAGGCCATTGCTCTTCAACTTCACTTAGCAGAGAATCGAGAGAGCCAGTCACTTTATGCAGATCGAATTTGGTATTCAGTTTTCTCCAAATGATCCATGAGCATTCTTCATCAAGGTCGATTTCAATGTGCTCAGTGAGAATGTTTGCGAGTTGTACTGTTGGACAATTATCGCATTCACCAATATAGCAATTTTCCGTTTCGACAGAGCAGATCATTCGACGAACGAGATCATTCATAGTGAATTTCTCAGCTGTTGATATAGAAGATTGCTTCGATGTCCGTTGATAGTTTTCTTTCCATGCCTGTAAAAGAATTTCAAAATCTTTAATAATGGAACGATGGTAAATTTACTCACTTGAAGTAGCAAATGCATATTCTCGTGATAAATGCACATGCATGTTTCGTGAGGTGTGACAATCTTAACGTTTCGAGGTGGAAGTGAATGGAAAGTGGAGCGTCCAACGAGGTCAGGATGCCGTCTGTCGAACTTTCGAAAAGCATCGAGGACAGTCATTTCCATGAAACGAACAGCAACTGGTTTCTTCTTGATTTGAATGACATCCTTTGAATTTGCTGAAATGCGACTGATGCCATCTTCTTGATAGAATTCGATGACAGTAGTGATTGTTTCTTCAGAGATTGACGTCTTGCCACGAAGGTATTGAGGAAAGGCGAGAACTTGGTTGTTGTCTCGAAGCTGAACCACCTGACGTGCATGACGCTCTGATGATTGAAACCTAATAGAAAAAAACAGAAAATAATCGAATAGAACCACCGTTCAGGTGGACCCGATTCATGTACCATCTTTCAGTTTTTCTACGACCCCAGTCTTTCGGGGCAATGGTCATCAACCGAACCTGCTCAGCTGGACTGCTCTCATTGAATAATTTCTTCAATCCAGTAACCAATTCATAGGACTCTTCAACCTGAAGTTCATGAGGATTAGTTTGTATCGACTTATCCATTTGTCTTTCAAGAACATCACACATTTGATGAAGGCTTCTGTACACCTGGTCGACTTGACGACGAATTGGAGCTACACTGGATCTTGAAAATAAAAACATACTTCAAGAACTTGATGAAATCTATGTACTCACTGGTCATGAATTGGGCTCAAATTCAGCATTCGAAACACATTCGATAGCTTTTCCATTGCTTCTTGTTGTTGATAGGTAAGTTCATAAAGTGAATCATCACCACTGCTCTTGTCTTGATCAGTTGTGTCGTCGTCGTCCTCGTCGTCATCATCATCATCACAAACATCATCATTAGCATCTTCCTCTTCTTCTGAATTTTGTTCTTGTTCACCATAATCGGACATATGATCATTTGAATTGATATTCTCGTCGATATCCATAGCTGCATCTAATTGCATTTGTTTGTTCTCCAATGCGTGACATTTTGCGCAGAGTCCATTCACGTTAACATCATCAAGATCATATCGGTCGCGGATGAACGTAGCGAGCCGTAAAGAAACTGATCTCTGTACTTTTGGTCCATCACGATGGCCAATGTGTCGTGTTGGATGTTCGCAAAACTTTCTTCTTGGTATTTTATCTTTCTTTCAATATAGGTCGAATAACGACTAGCTAACCCACTGGTCTCACTTCGATAATTCATTTCAATCCTATCCGCTCTCAGAAAACACCTATCATTAGGACTCCTCTGTTGAAATAGATATCGTTACATGTTTAATAAATTTATATTCGAATGATATTCCATAAAATGATTGCGTTCCTTTTTTGAACAACATCTATCTCTACACCAACAATCTGGAACATACAAATTGCAGCGACTAAACTCCTATGTCATCGAACGCTCTTTAAAATATCATGTCAACCGCGAAAATAGATCGTACATGCCGTTGTAAAGCTTTCATCTACCTACCCACAGAGAATCTTCAGTTTTCCTTAAAGAAGCATATGTAAATACTGTATATGGCCATCTTTCTCGTCTCGAGAAAGGTTGGACGAACGAAAGTTAACTTGCTTTAAACATTTTTCAAAGCACATATGCGACACAATAACAGTAGAAGGTACACAGAATGACTAATGCCCATTCAGACAGAGAGATGTGGATTGCTATTTTTTGAATAACTTTTGATAGGAACATGATAGAGCCGAGTAAAACATGGTGGAATCGACTGTTACACTTAGCCACAGTTACTGAAAAATAGTAAAAACTTGTTAGTTCGTTTTAACCTTAATTCTTAGGTTTTGAAATTTTTTGGGACCTGATACGGCTTGCCTTGATGTGACTGAGAGTTTCAGTCATTCACCAAGTGCCTTCGTGTTGATGTTTTGGTGCCTTAAAATATCTTTTTGCCCATAATCAGTTTTTGAGATCGTGTGACGTTGAGAAAGCGCGGAAAATGATTTTTCGCGTGCATTTTCATCCGGTCAGTCAAATATAATTGGAATTCAAGTTTCAAAGTTCTTATTTGATTTGAAAATTAAATTTAAATTTTTTGAAATTTGGAGTAAAATGAGAATATCTCTGAAGGTGTGCGTTTCCTCCGACTAAAAGTGTGAAATTTAGATTTAGACTTGGAACCACAAAATTCTATATAAGATTGTATAATTATTAATAAGGTTCGGGGAACTCTATTTGAAAAAGTCAAAAAGTGAAATAATTCAATTAGAAAATGTGAAAGATATTTTATGAGATTATAAATAAAAAGAACACTTTCAGTAATGACGTGCGTGGCCTACTGGTCGGCAATTGCAGCTCATCAGATGCTATACGTTTCTTAAATTTTACTACTTTACTACACTGTCAGAAAATTTCAGTATTGCTTGAAAGAGAGCCAATGAAAACGTAGCAACCAATCCTATAGAGATACATTGTTAATAGGACTCTCTATGAATGGCTGATTACGCGCCATCTCTCAGAATTTTAAATTAAAACTCCTAACGACAGAAGTTTGCTGAAAACAGTTTCTAAACATTCTAAGAGTGGCCTATTCAATAGTTTTCCCTAAAGCGTTGCGAATATTTTGCACGTGATTTTCATATGGGGTATTTAAATTATCGAAATACTTATTGCGATTCGGATTCATATTTTTTCTGCACCATTTCCCGCGATGATTTCTATAATGAAATCGATCAACAACAATGTCGGATTCATGCAGAAATTTACTTTCATTTGTTATTTTTATTTTTGTTCCATAATGTTTTTGAATATACCTGCTTACATGACATCCGTCATCGTAGACTATGTATTGTGGTAGATTTTTTGTTGAGCGAAATAAATCAAAAAATGTATTCAGCACTTCTTTAATAGTCTCTGTACGGCAAATCTCTTTAAATGCAACGATCACATTGCAGTTTGATGATACAACAATTGTACCATAGGAACGCAAATACAGATTAACAAATCGAGACGGCGCAGCTTTTCTTGTTCGACATGATAATCGTTCAAAATTTTCGTCACTCATATTTTTCATACGATATTGATCTAGTAAAAATTTCCGCTGTCGATGACGTTTAGTTTTGCAACGTTTTCTTTTTTGTGCTGTTTCATAATTTTTATGTTGTTCACAATATTGTTTCATGTATAACGGGGTCAGTGGACAACCGATATTTATCTCGTCGAATTCATTTGTAACGATTGACAATGATTTAAAACGACAGATTGGCCTTCAAAACTTTTGATGTCCATCGACGATTAAACAACGTGTACAGTGATTCAAACATTTTTTGAATGTATAATGATGAGCCCAAAAATATTTAAATTTTTCGTACGACTGGTTGAATTCATTACAAAAGAATTGATCAGATCTATCGGCACTATTATACAAACCAATCTGCACATATGTTTCACCCATGAATAATTGAAATTGTATATATTCGAACAATAAGAATATAGTTATTAGTTTGCGTCGATCGATATCGTTCACTGTTTGCGTTTTTTGAAAATTATACCCGCAGGAATATTGTTGAAACGAACTGAATACACATAAAAAATTGGCTTCAAAATTTTTTAACAATAATCTTGAGAATGCGACGCGACCGCCAAAATATAAATAATTTCCATTGTGGAATGATATATCATTACAATAGCGTGCATTGTTTGTTGAATAGTATGTTGGATATATTTCAATGTTACGTTGTTTACATCTTCGCGTTTCACATTTATAACTATTGACTGTCCCATTTTCTATTAGCCCATTCGAATCGAAAATTGTTACATGCTTTTGCTGAATTTTGGAACATTGTTGCGAGCAATTATAGCAAATATTTGTGAATGGCATCAATTGTATATATGTAAAATACTGTGATTGGGTTGAAAGCCCAGTTGAGAAACTTGAATAATGTTCAATTAACACCTTCACATCTAAATCATGAGTGAGACGTAAACTATGATCAGTTAATTGTTGTGTGAAAAGTGAAATTTGATTTTGAATTTGACGGACCGAATAGCGCGTGTCATATTGTTTGTTGATTATATTGGTAATATGGACAAATTTGTTAAACATTGTTAAACATTAAAGATTTCATGTCTTGATTTTATCCTAGAACGACAAGACAGATAAGTATTTCATATTCAATTAAGAACTAGTAACTGACGACTGTTATGAAACTTTTTAAGATGAATGCCTTAAACAAGGTGGTATCAGCTATCCTCAAGCATGAAGTATTTCTTAATTAAAAATTGGCTCTTTTCGCTAGCTTTTATTCTATCGTTATTTTCTTACCTCCTTCTTTTAGAAGAAATAAAAATCACATAAAATACATCAATTTTCACAAAAACAATTGCTCAAAAAGTACAATGGAAAAGTGATGCTACAAAATAAAAAACTAAACAAAAATATGACTGGATCAGTCATATAGAAAGCCTAATTGAGAAACTTGAATAATGTTCAACTAACACCTTCATATCTAAATCATGAGTTGTCTCATGGAAAAATTCACAATCTTAATTAAAAACGAGTAAACTATGATCAGTAATTGCTGTGTAAAAAGTAAAAAAATATGACTACTCTTGGTTTACACCGGTTGTCATAACAATGTTAATTCAAACGTTGCACTTTTGATCTACTCGAACGCGTTTTTACAGGCGATGTTGATCTTATGCGTTTTGGATACTTTTTTCTCGTATGATGCGCTGTTGTGTGTGAGGCAACAGGATCTGCTGCAGCAGGAGAAACTGATATCCAATTTGATGAATCCGTTGTTTCTGCGGCATCCTGAGGAGCAGCAGTTGTTCCAGCAGCTTGTCGCTGTGGTTCGGGTAAATTTCCCGCTGGAGCTGGCGCGTCTTCTACTGTTGACATATTTTCCACGACCACTGGTTGTGAAATAATCGAGGAATACAAAGTACCGGAGAACAATGTTTTTAATTCCTTACTAATCATAAATCCGGCAGGTAGAGTAATTGATGAACATGAGACAATAAAATCATTCGATGATAAATCGTATTTCATCAATTTTTTGTTCATCTCTTGATGACAAAGCTGTGTGTCTGCCGGTGGTAGGAGTTTAACATAAGCAGCGAATGGTTTACTCCTGTGACTAAGTCCATCAGTTTTTAGCAATAACAACTCTTCATTTGTTAACATTTCCAGTGCGGGTTGCAAAAGTTGATTATTATTTTTTATCCAACTAACTGAATATAAATGTGTTTTATTAAATATTACAGATGGGAACTGAAGAATTCTTTTACACATCGTTTTGATTTTGGCCGACTCATCATTTGTTGTAGCAATAGCTGAATTCGTTTGTTGCGATAACGTTGATGGATCTAGCAACTGGGTTATTGGCGATGTCACATTACGATCAATATTGAACAAATTAATATATTTTAAAATATTTGTTTTAATATAATAAATAGCCGATTGCACTACGCCTAGAAAGAAAAAAACCTATCGCCGTAGAAAAGGGAATGTGTTCGGTTATTTTTATAATAGCGTTTGAAAGAAACGTGATGAAGGTCTGTGGTTTTCACCGAATACGAAGACTTGACCACGTACTTCTTTACACAAATCATGTTGAGAATATTTTTCTAGAGTAAGTATTACAAAGAATCTTTGTAAACCTCAGGTATTACTCATAGATTTGCAATAGAAAAATTTTTTCACCGATAATTACTATTCATCTCAACTTAAATTTTTCAAATAACTGAAAAATAAAATGAGATGAAGTCATGCGATTTTCACCATTCGAAAGCCGACATCCGAGAGTATCTTTTCAATAGCACGAACGCTTTGAAAAAACATTAAAAAAACGGTTTTTAAGGGGCTCTTTGGAAAACCATTTCATAATAAGAAAACTTAACATAGCAATATTAGATATATACATGGATAGATAGCTTAAACTGTCCTCTCCATGAGAATTAAGCCATCTCTTAGGCCTCCATGGTTTAGATGTGGTATCGGATTTCCTGAGAGCCCCAGGATGAATATTTCTTTAGGTGTAGTAATCACCGAAGTGAATGGAAGCATAGGTAATCGACCACGCTGAGTCTCGTGGCAACATTTGTTTTTCGATAAAGTTCAGACACCTAGGAAAGCCTATATTTGGTGAAATAACCCATTTTTGCCTATTTTCACGTAAAATTAGAAAATTCACAACTCAAAATCGATGGAAACTGCATCAGAATAAGATGTACTTTATTTCATCTGCACTATATCGCGAACTTCAATACCCAAGCAAAAATACTGTAGGGAGAAAATCTAGCTCCATCGACTACATAACCGGGTGGTTATTCACTTGATGGATCTAGCCAAATGTAACTTTTTACCTAGTAAGCTAGCTCCAATCTAGTAGTGAACCTAGCACTAGGTTATCATAATCGAGTAGGAACGGGAGGTTGACAACTACGTTAACCGCCCAGTTAACTGACCATTTTCGAGACTTGTGTCTGGAACATAAAATGTGGTAAATTTAATTTTCTAAATTTTATGTGTAGACATCGGATTTTCAGAAATCGTTCTTCATAGTGAAAAATAGTAAATACCGTTTTTCACCGTAAAGATCGATTTGTACAAAGTTGAGCTTAGCAGATAAAATTTAGAAAATTAAATTTGCAACATTTTTGTCGCTAGATTCAACTTTGGATTGATTCAATTAGATTCAACTTTATGGTGAAAAATGAAATACCACCTTTTCGGCTATATTCTGAATTTGGCCATGAGAGGAGTTTTCCAAAGTTGATCTTGAGACAAAAATGTGGCAAATTTACATTCCTAAGTTGTTGCTAGGCTCAACTTGTACAAATCGATCTTCACGGTAAAAATGGGATTCACTGTTTTTCACCATGAAGAACGATTTCTGAAAATCTGGTTCCAACACATAAAATTTAGAAAATTAAATTTGACACATTTTACGTTCTAGACGCAACTCTCGAAAATGCTTTTTTCAAGGAGAAAATACGAGAAGCAGAAAAGTATTACTCTCTGGCAGGTTCGAATCCGTAAAGGGGCTGTACTTTTCTGCTTTCTTACTATTCGTGGTAACATTGATTTATAAGTTTCTTCAAATGCCCTTGCTGTTTTAGAGATAGGGTTTTAAAAACTCTGCTAAATGCTCGATTCCTAAAAAGCAATGGATTTTCTTTCCAGAAACGGCCATTTTGTCTCATAATCAAGATGAAACTCCTTTCTTCAGTGTAGAGAGAAATAGAATCACAATATAGTGAGGTTTTCTAGAGCCGGATTTCTATTTTCTGTAGAATGAATAGTACAAAAAGGCATTGAGCGGCTAGATGTATTCTCATACATATATATATATATATATGTAGAAGAACAAAGATCCTTTGGTTCATATAAAGACCAAATTTTATAATCTAGAACAGTAATGCAGAGAAATCCGCTCTTTATTAGTTGTTCTCATCAGTAATGTACGATAAAAGGATATATACAGGGTGTCCTATAAATCACCTAAAAACTAGGCCGTCTGTAAAGATTTTCCAATAGCATTGTATTGCACTTTTTCATGCGCTGATAGCTCGGGGTGTCCT